AGTTACTATGCTAAATTGTGGGTGCTCCAACACTGGAAGTTTTTAAGAAGTGATTGGACAACCTCTTGCCTGAAGTGGTGTAGTCTCCTTCCTGAGCAAGGGGTTGAAGGAGAAGACCACCAAGGTCCCTTCCGATATTATGTTACAGTGGAGGACAGGAGGGTCTGGTCCAGGGGGTTACGGGAGAGTTGGACCCCACTTAGCAACTGAACAACAACAACCAACACTACACAATTGGAAAAGGGAGGCCTGCTCAGCCCACATTTCCTGCCCACGAGACAAAATACTGAGTGAAGGGTTGACGCAGGCAGCGGTTCCCTCCCGGCTGATCCTCTTCAACTGGAGATGCCAGAGAAGACTCAACCTGGCACGTGCCTCCTGCCAAGCAGCTTCCGATCCTTTAAAGGGTTGAACGAACTTTTACGCATCGACTCCCGAGAGGGAACTTCATGAAAGTTGGGATTCCCGCCCGTTTCAACAAGTTTGCAAAGATTTCTGCTCCCCCCACCCCCAATCCCTCCTCGCCGCCCCGTCAAAGCCAACGGGGCTGGGGAAAACCGACTCCTTCGCGGTCAAGCTCGGGACGCCCGAGGGTTCCTTTATCCAGCCGCGGAGACCCCAGCCGCAAACAAGCCGGGGCAAGGCAGCTTCCCTCGCGAGTTCGCGGCCACCCGCCGGCCCCACTCACCAGCTCTGCTTCCGCTCGCTTTCGACGCCTTTCTTCAGGCGAGAACAGCGCCTCAGCGCTGGACCGCAAGCCAGCCGCCGACAGGGAAGGGGCGAGACGGGAGGGCTGTCGAAGACGCTCGCCTCGCGCGCTGCTGGGGCGGGGTTTTACCTGCCCGGGAGGGAAACCTGCAAGGCGGGTCTCCTCCCTGGCGAAGAAATGCGCGCGCTGGAGGAATTGTAGGGCGCACCCACCCACCCGCGCCCCCTCCGTTGAGTTCGTCCAAGTCCCAGATTTGAACGGCTTCTTATGAGGCGTCTTGTGCTGGCAACAGCAACTTTTGGTCGCCGAAGAGCTCTTCGGGGAAGCACGGAGCGCGGCAGGGGCGGTCCGCGTCGCCTAAAAGTCAAGCGGGGTGGAAGGGGCAACCAGCAGCCGCGACCGCGTTCCGCGAGTGGGAGAGGCCAGGTGGTCCGGCTCTCCGCTTAGCCTGAAGGGTTCTAGGCTAAGTGAATCGGGTTAGGGCTCCTGATTTGGGTACTGTAACTGTTCAGGAGGCGGCTCGAAAAGCCGACTCCAAACCGGCTTTGAACCCATAGCAGCAAACGCTGTGAGAGGGGAAGAGGAAGGGGAGAGAGAGAAAAGAAAGATAACAGAAGAGCTAACAGCAAGAGTCAAACTTGCTCAGAAGATGGCCATTCCCATAACTCTTTTAAGCTTTCCCTGCAGGAGCTTCTGCCAAACCTGAATTTGGCGGAAATGGATCTAGTTAGAAGTTGTATCCCATCCTTTGCCACCCAAATGTACTTTCAGTGGTTTAGACTATTTAATCTGTTCCACTCTTAATTTATATTTGCCCGTTTAACATGTTTTTCTGGGATCCCCCCCCCCATTTTCTAATTTGCCACTACCCCCAACTGAAGACTGTTGATAATAAAATAGCAATATCAATATTTTGTAGAACATGAAATAGAAGAAAGCTTCCTCATACAGTTCTTCAGTGAGAATGCAGACAATATATGATTTTATGCATGCATCTGTGCATTTGTTTACATCATAGCAAAAAAAAATCAGCCTTGAGAAATAGTGGCAAGCTAATTTTAAACATACAATATGTGTACTCGTACAAAGAAATGATGTAGGAAAGAAAAATTAAAATGGTTTTAGCTATGAAAAAATAAAGGCATATTTTAGCTGAAATATATTGTTATAATTGTTCATAAATTTCATTTTTTAATGGGAGTTTCCCCTAATCTACGGATTAACCCCAGAACACTTGGATTAAATTGTCAACAGCCTGCCACCTAGTGGAAATGAAACAGTCTGTATGGAGCAGTAGCAATTACAGGACACAAGAGGACTAATAAATGTTGAACTTGGGCTGGCAATGATGCTGTAAAGCTCCTGCTTTTTTTTTTTAAGTATCTCTATTGCTAACATTCATATAGGAAATGCCTCGGCTTGAATTTTGGAGTGGTATATTTAATCTGAAAGACTTGGGTAGGTTTCAATCTCAAAGATAGTTTAGTGGCTAAGAACCAGGTCAGAAAACGGGAGACTGTGAGTTCTAGTCTCACTTTAGGCATGAAAGGCAGCTGGATGACTTTGAGCCAGTCACCTTCAGCCCAACCTACCTCATAGGGTGGTTGTTATGGGAAAACAGAAGGATATATTATGCACGCTCACCAACTTGAGTTATTTATAAACATAATAAAGGATTGGAGAAGTTCTAGGCAAGCCAGTACTCAGAATTGTTTGCCTCTGAACTTCAGTCTAACATCCAAATCACCCAAACCTTATCAGTGTGTATAACGAGGAATAAGCAGTGTAAAAATATTCAATGCATCTGCTTAGCTGTTCTGTATCTTTGTCAAACCAAAAGATTTCCACAGAAGACACCAAGAATACAGGGCTAAGACGACAAAAATATCAAAATCATCACTGCTGTTAAACACAAGCCACAAAAGAGTTTACTTCAATTTTATTTCTACTTAAACAGGTTTTGGATGATACATCATGCAGTCTGCGAGTGTATCCATACAGTTTGATAGATAGTATTTGAGAACCAAGATCCAAAGACTTAACTATAGAGAAGGAAGGGGAGATTTAGGTTTGCTGTTATAGAGCTTAATTCATTACAGCATCTTTTATGCAATAGTGGAAATTGCCACAGAGATTGTAACCATCAGAAAAAGGATCCACATTTCATTTTTCCCTAAAACAAGCTATTGTACAGATACATAGGTCCCAGAGAATACACATCTGGAATACACACTACACACGTTACAAACTAGACATGTATACTTCTACAGAATGCCTCAATCCCTATTCTTCCTTCACATTGTCCACTATTAAAAGAAGCTTTAAAAAATGACAGACACAATTATTTAGATGTAAGACACAATCTTAGAAATAGTTTTGTGTGGGTGCCTAAAAAGACAGTCAGCCTTTGTGTTCTTGGTTCAAAAAGGCATTATAGGAAACAATAACAGATTGCTTTCCAATAAGGCATCATCCCACAATTCTGCCGTGAACAGATTCATTATTTTGAAAACATGGCCATATTCTTGCCTCAGACTATGAAGGCTTAGGGCCAATTCACCACCAGTAAGCTACAGCTTACACTGCACAACCTGTTTTTCAACACAGCCTATAATGAGAACCCCCAAAAATTACAGTAATCCTTTGTGGAATAAACCTAATAAACAAGATATATATTTGCTACATGAAAGATAAGCTTTGGGACTGTGTTGTTTTTTAAGAAAGGAAGTACTGGTACTTTCATTTATAAATGAAGTAACAAAATACGTTGTGTGTTCTTTTTCATTCATTGACTATGGGAACAGATTTTAAAAAGCCAGCTTTTAGATATTAGTAGAGTTTACATTATGTCAAGCTAATTAATTCAGAATAATTTATTCTTAACTTAATTCAGCAGAATGTAGCAAGTGTGATCAAAATCGTTCCATTGTCTCAGTGGCAGAAGGCTAAATTAAAAAGTTATCCCAAGGAGGTACATAAATAAAAACGACTATAAAGAAAATATGATTGAAATTAGAAACGAGTTTCACTTTCAGTCAGAAAATTCTATAAGTACATAACATACTTTTTGAGTTTTCAAAAATTAAACTCAATACCTTCCTATCATTTAAAGAATACCAGGCTAACTATAACTATAAAAAAAGCAAAGGAGAAAAGGACTTTTTAAAAGAGTAAATCAAATATCTGGAATTTAGGAAGCAATACCAACATACTGTAAAATTAGCATCAAAAACTTAAAAGAATGGCTTAGAAATATCACACAAAACAATTCTAGCAGCAGTGAGTCAACAACATAATAAAAGTGTGTGGCTCATTTTCAAATGCATCCATAAGCATTGCAATATACTGTGTCTTTGTGTTCCATTTCAGAAGGCAGTCTGCCATCTTTGACCCAAAGCGGAAAAATTTGTTTTGAGGCCTCAGTCAAGGAGAGACTTAAGTTAGAAGAACTGACTGGCTGATCAGCAACTAACAATTCTGGGGCATCAAAGCTAACTTTTCCTTACATCCTAATATAAGCATCATGTTAACTTCACAATTTTTAATTTCAAAAGTGCTTAATGTCAAAACACAGTATCCTGTTCTCATTTCCTATCAGTGGGGATTGATCAGGCATAGTGCTTGCATTCACAGTATCAAAACATCTTAAACAATATTTAAATGCACAAAAAGGATTGTTTAAAATATGTTTTAAAATAAAACCTCATTAACTGTGCATTGTAAGAGCTCATCTGCCTATGAAAATAGTTATAGTGAGATTGCTTGAAACATCCTCCATGATGCACATTCTAGTTGGAATATTTAGAATATTTCCTATTAGGATGTCCTAGCTGAAATTTCCTCAAATATTGTTCAGGTTGTGTGTGTGTGTGTGTGTTTTTTTTACTAATTGGGAACATTATGCGTGTAAACGTCATGTGTGTGCCTATAACTTGGTGTTCAACAATTTGCAACTAAAAAGATGGCCTCATTAATCCCAGAAAAAGGGATTGTGAATGTGGCAAATTCACATTTCAAGTGGTGGACAATGTAATAATATACATGTGTAACAATATTTAAAAACACAAACATTTACAAAAAGAAATAAAATAAATGCAAAATAAGGTATTTCATTAAACACGTCACAAAAGTTTCTCCCTTCCCTCACAATTAGTGCAATATTTAATAAATAAGACCCAATCATCTTTGCTACAGTCGAGAATGCCTAACCTACATCGTGATAAAATATCTGATAACCATCTTTCTAAAGGCTTTATAAGCAGAATAGCTTTTTAGGTAAAAGTATTTCCTCCCCCAAAAATTAGCAGCCCCCAATTTACTGTTAATTTTAGTGAAAGCCACAGTGACAGAATGGAATGAATGTACATTGAAATTCAATCATTTTGAACCTCATATTCTTTTGAAAAAGCATGTTTCTATGCATGGTTTTCAATGTATATATATAAAACATATGCAAAATAAATATAACTGACACATTAAGCTGCGGATTTATCTTGTTTATCTGCCTTGTTATCCATGTTTTCCACTTAAAATACAACTTAATACTTCATGTCTGTCATTAAGTAAGAATACAATGAGGTTGTACTATACCATCTTCTTGGGCAGACTGCCATAAGGTTCAGTATTAGCATCTAATGTTATGAATGCTCTGGATTATAACATTATTTCAATCATTCTTCCTTTTTGCTTTTGCTCTGCACTCTAAACATGCATACCTATTCCTAGTCAACCCTTTGGAAAAGGGTTTTTAATCTTATTAGAGCAGAATTTTCCCCACATTTCTGACTTCTACTATGATCTCTGAAAAATCAAGGAGAAATTAGACTTTCACCCACTATTCTAAATTTACTTTTAATATTCATATTAATCAAAACCATTGCTTCTGCATAATCACCTGAAGATCCATAAGAGACATTATAGATCAAATCCTAAACTTTGAGATTATGATATACCCACATGATCATTGGCTTTTAAGACTAAAACTATGCTAACCATGTTCATCCTTCTATATCTCTACTGTTATCTGATCTCTACCAAGCAAATGTACTCATTATTTAGCTTTTCATCTCTACCCTTTTAAAACAAATTCAACATTTCACCAGGGTAATAAAAATGAACTATTTGAGGTACTTAATTTTTTTTAGAAAGCAGATTGGGGCGGGAGGCTATTTTCAAACTATATAGCTGCACCCTGTCAATTTCTAAAAATATAAAATGATGCACATATTACACAGAAAATCAAAAAAAACCCAGTGATGGAATCAAATCATCTGGTTTGTTGCTATGGTTCTTCAATGGCTAATTCTTGGGTATCACATTTTTGCTGATGCACCAAAATACTTAAAACAGAACAAAACATCATCAGTGCAAGCACAGAATCTTCCACAAGAATGGCACAGAGGGGTAAAATGCAGTCAGTCAATGACAGGGATTGAGCAGCAGACTCTGGGTATCATTACCCTAGGATAATGTGTTAGATACACTATACAAGGTTTGGAAAGGGAAAAGTGTATTGGACACACTTCTGTACATATGGAGATTGGACAAAGCTGAAACATTTGAAACCGGTGCATTGCCGATGGCTATAGAACATGTACAACGAACAGAAATATAGTTCCAGTTTTCTGTAAAAAAAAGTAGTAGTGAATTGATGACAACTTTCCACATGCCAAGTACCATCTGGTCAGTCTGGAAAAAAATAGACAGACATAAAATGTGTTAGTGCAAATCATATTTTTAGGAGCAGAATAGCGGAATACTAGAATAGCTTTTTGTGCATTAATTTGTTTTCAAAAAGTATATAATCATCATATGGAGAAAACCAGTTTGGTATACTGGTGAAGGTACCACGTTAAAAAACAGGAGAGTGTGAGTTCTAGGCCCTCCTTAGCCATGAAAGCCAGTTGGGTGACCTCCGGCCAGTCATTCTCTCTCAGCCCAACTCACCTGACAGGGTGATTGTTGTGGGGAAAATAGGAGGAAGAAGGAATGTTAGGTACTGCATTTTTCAGAGTATAAGACGCACCTTTTTCCCTCAAAAAAGAAGCTGAAAATCTGGGTGCATCTTATACACTGAACACAGCATTTTTGACCTCCCGAAACCACACCCCTTCACAAAAATGGACGTGCATAGCCCTTATGAGGATTCCAGAATGCTCCTGGGGGCTGGGGAGGACAAAAATTAGCAAAACCAGGCTGTTTCCCCCCCCCAACCTCCAGGAGCACTCTATAAGCCTCCTAAAGGCTATGCATGGCCTATTTTTGACAAAAAAGGGCTAGGGTTAGGATTAGGCCCATTTTTGCGAGGTCTGCAGAGTGCAAAAACTTTTCTTTTAAATTTGCCTCTTCAAAATCTTGGTGCGTCTTACACTCCGAAAAATACAGTATGTATTCTTGAGTTGTTTATAAAAATAAAAAAGCAGGATTTAAATAAATAAATAAATAAATAAATA